GGTGCATCGGTGTATGGATGCGGTCTATAAATATTTTCGGACTCTTTGAACAAGTTCTCAAAATGATCCGCACTCAATTCACACATTTTCTCCGCTTCTTTTACTATCTCTCCGTTGGGAAGAATAAAACCATGTAGAGAAGAAGATGTAGATTTCATAAACTTCTTTGTACGAGACCAAAAAGAAACAGAAAGATGTGAAGAAGTATTACGTGCTGATAAAGAAGAAGATAGTTGATTAAATAAAAAAACTTTAAGTTCTTTTTTAGCCATTTTTCTTCTAAGTTTAACTATGATCTTTAATACTTCATCGCCTGTTCTTTTTTGCCTATATGCTAACGCACGTGTGTGGGACATATAAGCTCGTAGAGCTTGTGGAATAGCAATACGATATTTGTTAACTGGGAAGAATATAGTGCAACGTGAGATAAGAAGAGAGAGAAAAGATACATAATCGTTGTAGACATTATTTACGCTATTTAAGCACCAATTTTTTTCCCAAAATGGATAAACATACTCACTGAACAACGAAAAAACTTTCCAATGAATATTACGTGCAAGAACACTTTCTTTAGATTTTATTGGTATAACAGAAAGAAGAGGTTTATGATCACTAGAAACTACACCTTCGTACGTTTGAATAGAAACAGAGAAGCCGCATGAAAAAGCATAGTCAATTGTACGGTTCGATCTTAAAGAGGTGATGGAATCAGGAATATACGGTGAAAGAAAGTGAGAATCTGCCCATGAAAGTAGTAACTCAGCCTTAAGCAGATCCTCTTCTACATCTACGTTAAAATCACCATAAAAAACGCATTTACTCGAAACTAGAGGTGATAGGTCCTCCCACTTCCATGTTTTGCTCTCCGGTGCATAAACTCCTACAATTCTGATTTTATCATTTTCTTCTAGAATATCAGTTACACACACGTTCGGTAAATCACAAACAACTCTTTCTGCTTTTAAATCAGTTCGTACTAACATAACAACATCACCATGCGCATTTTCGCCTCTCTGATAGTAGACTTTATATTTAGAAAAAACCTGTCTGCAGTGTGAAAAATCAAAAAAGCCTGTTTCTAGTAAAATCAAAATATCGAATTTAAATGAGTTAGATAGAAGTAATACTTCCTGATAACGCAAATCAAGACCTCGAACATTATATGATAGAATATGAAGAGAATTAATAATTGAAGACGTATCAATGACTCTATATGGCTCCCAACTTTTTAGACAAGCAGTAAGTGTAGGGGAACTTTCCCATTCAAATAAGATTTCAGACCAAAGAGAAAAATCAAAATACGATAGGTTCACCTGTGCTTTACGAATGAAGAGTTCTCTCTCAAAAGAAGTCATTTTTGGGGTACAGGGGTCGAAAAAAGGAACTGCATATGGAGAAAGTGACATTAGAAGTTTTTATTTTGAGTTACGTTTTCCAATTGTACACGCATTCTGTTTATTGTAACTTGAAAATCAGCATCTAATGTACCACCTTTCTTGTCGATATTAATTATTGATAAATATTTACTGATTTCATCCATCATTGGTAAAATTAATTTTATAAATATATTTTCGTGTCGTGTAATTTTAATTTCATGTTGAATAATATTTTTCTTAAATTCTACATCATTTTCTATTAAATGATCAATTTTCGTAGATAATATTTCATCATTTTTAATTTTATTGTTCATAAATAATTCAAATTCATCGTTTTTCTTCGAAAATTTTTCTAATGTATCATTTACTTTACGTACAGAACTAATTAATTCATCTATTTTATTTATCATTGAATTATTAGTAATCGAATATGGTGATGGTTGTTGTGGACGAGGAAGTACTGGAAAAGCAGTTGCATCATAATTATACGTATTATTAATATTAGTATTTGTTGAACCATAAGACGATGACATACGATTTGAAAACAACAATTTTTTTGTTAATTCTGCACGAAAATTTTTAACTATAGGACATTTAAATGAATTTGAAACGTGATCATCATTACAGTGAACACATTTATTAACCAATGAACAGTTGTGATGACGAAGATCAGGACAGGACAAACCACACACTTTGCAAGTTTCATTGATTTGAGTACACTGTTTTTTAAAGTGGCCGATGGCCATACATTTCGAACAGATCAACACATTTGCTGGTGATAAATATTCCTCCACGTCATATGTAATGCTATTTACTAGAATGTTACCAGAATTTAATATTTGCTCACGAATCATTGGTGATAGAATTTCAATTTTAATTAATCTAATATTATTTTGAAATTTATTTTTCAACCTAATTACAGCATGAATTTCAGGATAGGTAGCTTTCAAATCTTCAGCAAAATCATCAAGATTTATACGTAGGTCAACATTCTTTATTATGAATGAAAGCTGTGCAGGAAATGATGGTGAGGAAGGAAATATAAAGGTTTCACCACCAATACGTTGGGGCCAGTTTTGTTGATGAAATAGTAATGAAAATGTAATTGAATCTTTGACATAGATCAAATAGTCATACTCATTTTGTTGACATTTCATTATTGATCGACGAATATTTAAAATTGATATATCAGTATGATAATTATCTTTAAAATGTTTTGAGATTTCATGTGCCACTTGTTTATCTTTAATGTTTCCCGATGTAAAACGAATGATGAAGGGTTGATAGGGAAAACGTGTTTGTGCAAAACGTGCAGATTCGGGTGTAATTTTATTTTGTTGTTGTTGTTTTGGTTGACTTGGATTGAGATTCGAATTTGAAATTGTACGAGAAGTAATGGTTCTTGATGATGATTGTGTTGCAAGTAGAGGTGGTGGATCATTGTTGTGATTATTATTGTAAATGCTTGTCTGCTGTTGTATAGGTGCATTAGGATTATTGTACTTCTGTTGTGGATCTTCAAATTGATCATCGAAATCCTTGTTTAATTGTTTACGTTTTTTATTGTGTACAACAGTAATAAATTCATCATCATCTTGTTCACGCATACGTCTACAAGGAGACTGTGCAGGAGAATCTAACATTCTAAGATTAGTTGTAGTAGGTGGAGGAACACGATTTTTACGATTTTGTTGTTGATTATTCAGATAGTTGAAGTGCATATTTGATTGTGGATCATAATGATATTCAGGAGAATTATCGACGATATTTGCAGATGAATTTGTGTGATAACGAGTATTTTCATTGGTGTTGGTACAATTAGGCAGGTGGTGATCATTTTTCACCATATTTGTGAATAATAATTTCAAAAATTGATGAAATTATGAATAAATAACCTGACACGCGTTCGACGCGTGATCAGAACGTATATATAATATATATGTATGTAGCTAGTATAGAGAGAAAAAAAAAAAACACGTCCGATCACCAAATAGACGAACCCAGGTGCAAAAATCGTACGAGGATCATATAAGATCTTATACGATCTTACTGACAATTAGATTTTGTAAGATTCAGATTGTATGATCTTACGAAATCTTGCAAATTTCTTGTTCTAAGATTTAATATGATTCTTATTATAAGATGCTAGCGTCAATCTGATATGATTCTTGATATAAGATTCTTGCAAGATCTGAGGATGGGAGTCTTGTAAGATATTGTAGGATCTTGTCAGACCATAATTTTAAGATATTTCTCATGCAAACTAGTTTTTATAACGATAGGTTTATAGATGTAGATTATTACACGTGTTTAAGTGATGGAATGCTTCCTAATAGAAATATAATTTCTTTTTAAATTGCAAATACACGTTTTGTATACAGCGATGCTTATTATAAAAACAGCACACTACTAATCAATCTGATTTGACTTGATTAAGTTTATTATTGTATTGACTTTTATCTTGTTAAATTCATTTTATCGTTTATTCTTATTGAAAAAAACATTTTTTGTATTTGTTTGTAAAACTGTAATTAATAATAATTCTCTAGTGTAGAGGACATGTAAGCCGACAATGGCTAATATATACTATATATATGAGCGAGAAACCGTTACATTCGTCTTATATTCTGGTATGGTGGAAGAAATTACACGTCATATATTTTTTCAAAAATACAACTAGGCTTTTTATATTAATTTATAATTCTTCAAAATTATCCAGTTTTGTTTTAGATATTTGAAATTCGTATCGATCTTATTTAGTCTTTGTGGTTTCATCGACTGAATTTCGATATTTCTGGTTTATTTTGACTCAAACTAATGATGAAAAATATTATTTTATTTTACTTTCAATCAATGTGAAAGGAGTTAGTTTCATTTGATGTATATGCTTAACTTATTTCAGTTAAGATATAATTAATCTAAGAAGATTATCTATTTATAGTCAAAATAAAATGAAAGCAATTTAATGCAACTATACTTGTTTTACGACAAAATAGATTTACTTTCATAAGATTATTTATTTAATAGTCTGGGAAAATAAACTAAATTCAAAGTGAAGAGATTTATCTTACTTGAAATAAAGTTAAACTAATAGAATTATTGCATTTATTTTTTTTAATACAAAATTAATATTCAATTTGATAACATTATTTAGAATTTACATTATATTGAACTAAATTAACCTAATTTTGTCATTTTATTTTATTTTATTTCAATTGAAATAAAATTAACATACTAGATTTTTTCTACAATTAAATTAAATTATTTTATCTGATCATTTCAACTAACACAAAATAAATATAATACAATTATTCATTTATGATTAAAATAAAATCAAGGAAACCTTATCCAATATAATTTGGTTAAATCCGTTTTCCAAACTACAACTCTGTAATTAATTAAGTCAATTTCAATATCGAACTCTACTCTATATACTGGTGGTCGATTACTCGAGGACGAGCTTAAAATTAACATCAAACCGAACTGTGATCTGTTTTCGATAAAACTACGCATTACTCATTGCATATTTTCATGTGGAAATGATAAATATTTTTTTTATTTAAAAATAAATTT